CATTAGGGTGTTTTGATCAATCAATCTTTCCATATGAATTGGTTCGTCAATTGGATATATTCCCACTCAAAGTCTATGCACATTACTCCATGTACATGTACATGTACATTTGTATCTGAGGTTTTCTTGCCTTGTCAAAACATTCAATACTTTGGCATTTCCTTGTGATACAGCCATTACAAGGTGTTGCAAATGAAAACAAATTGATCAGCAACATCCTATCGGCCTGGGGAATTCAATCAATCTTTTGGAATACAACATTACTCTTAATAAAGTGTGTGCATTTTACTACATTTCATATGATGTTCCTTGTGCCTTGTCAAAACATTAGGCTGTACATTACAATGTGTTGAAAATGAAAACAAATTGATCAGAAGCATTCTATTGGCCTGGGGAATCAAAATCAATCTTTTGGAATACAGCTTTTCTCTTAAAGTATGCATTCAAATGATATGTTCCTTGTCAAAACATTTGATACTCTGGCGGTACGTTACATGTACAGTGTGTTTGCAAATGAAAACAAATTGATCAGCAATGATCTTTCGGCCCAGGGAATTGAAATTGATCTTTCGGAATACAACATTAGGGTGTTATGATCAATCAAAATTTTGATTTGGATTGGTTGGTGAATTGGATATTTACACTTGAAGTACAGTGTATATGCGCATTACTCAATTTGTAGGTACATGTACGTGTACATATATGTTACATATATGCCTTGTTAAAAATTTGATATCAGTGTACGTGTATGGTCGGTACCTTGTGATACAGCCATTACAATGTGTTGCACATGAAAACAAACAGATCAGCATATTTCATCATCATTTAGCCCTGGACTGGGAATGGAAACCAATCATAGATTTATTGGTTGTACAATCATTCATGTCTTGAATCTTTCCTGTCAGCTGTGAAAGGAAATGTCATCATGATGTCAGATCATGGTCACACAATAAATTCCTGCTTCTTTAATGAAAAGAGAACAAAGGTTATCCATGTATCCTCATGAAGCCTGTCTCCATCAGCTCAAGTTTGCCAAATAGCCCGCTATTTCTGATTCGGAAATTAGCCGAAGGTACAAATCGCGTCCACATCAGCTCAAAACTCGAGCTCGAAACGTGAAAGTCGAGCTCAAGAAATTAGCTCGAGATATTTTGCTCAGTGTCCGCGTGTAGTGCAAGTCTTTGGGCTAGTGAGGACGGACTGGACAAATAACGGGCTATTTTGCAAACTAGCCCAAAATATCTTGGGAAGATTTCCCGAGCAAATAGCCCGCTATTTTCGTGATCTGGCTAATTTCCAGAATGAGAAATAGCAGGCTATTTGGAAAACTTAAGCTGATGAGGACAGACCTATAGTTTCACCAAACTGAATGCCCTTCAATATCATTTAAGGGCCATGTGTTTACACCAGTAGACAGTAGGCCCATTTACACATCCCAAACAACATTTTGAAAAAGCGTCAATTTTTGGGACTACCATTTACACAACATTAAAAAACATCAAAGTTTGCTCATATCAATTTGTTGGTGAGTATAGTGCGCATGCGCCATTTGTCGATCTCTCGTGAGCTAAAATTGGTGTCTTATCAAAGTTTGCATAAATTTGCACTGCAAAATTCAGTGAAACTTCGGTAGGCATTTAAAAAAAAAACATGCCTCGTCCTTTATGCCTGTATGTAGTTGCTATACTATGCAACTTTGAGAAAAATCAATGATTTTTGTTGTTGCAGTGTACATGTAAATGCCGCTATTGTCTGTAGTCTTGGTGTTTTGCGATCAGAATCTGTTAATGATTGATCAAGTAAGTAAGTTTTGTCAGGCAGCCTCCGTCTCTCTGTATAAAATATGACAAATGAAGTTAATGAACCATTATTCAGATGAGAAATTGACAAAAAGACTACAGTTAGTTCATACATTTTAGCCTTGTAATTTGCTAATTGAAATGCTCTTTTACCACAGTCTGCCCGATCACATTCGATACAAAAAACAAGTCGATCATTAATGTTCCATCAGCCCCAGGAATTGAAATCAATCTTTTGAATACAGCATTATAGACTGTTTTGATCAATCAGACTTTCTAATTCTATTTAAAAAGACTTCCAGGTAGAGTTCCGTCTGGGAATTGTTTGCCGAGAGCCAAAACGGATTTAACTCTACATTTGTTGTAAACACATTAGTGAATTCTTATCTAGCTCTCAACACATGATATTATGCTTTTTTAGGTACATGTACATGTATGTATTCTACATTGTGTTGACATATGCATGTGGCATTAGAGAAAGGAAATTGAAGCTATCCATTTCAATTAAAACAGAAATGCATATCATACCACAATCTCTATGATGAATTAAAACAGTAGAGCGTAACTATTAAAGATTTGTAAAACGCAATATCCACTTGACAATTAAATGCTCAAGGCGCAACTTGCGCAAAAGATGAAATACATGATAAGAAAACAAAAGTACAATTAGATAGGTACAGACATGAAAGGTAATAGTAATCAATTATAGGCTAAATTAAACATTTAACTATGCAATATACATCAAGAAGTGAAGGGTTTCTTTAATGTTCCGAAACCCAAATACACTGGCAATACATTGAGTTTGCTTTACCATTTTTACTCCTAATGTGAAACAAGATGAAAATCGAAAGATTTATCATCACCGCCTTCCCCTTATCTGACGGAAAAGAAATAAAGAGGGAAGCATTATAAGAAAGTGGGAGAGCAAAGATTGAGAAGATGAAGGAGGATATAAAAAAGCAGGAGACTTTGCATAATTAAGTATTTTTTCTTAGAAATGTTTTTGTGGTTTCCTTATTGTTCAATATTCTTACGTTGCCCCTTTTTATGATGCACCTGCTATGAAAGTTATACTTCCGTTTTGCTCATTTGTATTATTCCGCTTTGCTCATATATCATTTGATGAATAAAGATTCCTTTTAGTAGACTCTGTTATGAAATCGCTGATGTTTTATTGGTGGATATAATGTTAAAGTTAACTGTAACTAAATATTCCTTTTAAGTCTGGTTCACTTATGGTGCATTTAACGCAATGGCAGAATATATAAACTACTTTTTGTTTGTACTTTATATGTAAATGAATGGCAAAACGGAAAAAGGTGTCTGAGTATAACAATGGCATCTCATCGTACTTATACTGTTTTCACATTGGCAATATTTTGCTTAACCCCGTACTATAGGTGGGGTTAAAGGGTATCTTAACCCCACCTATAGTCCGGGGTTAAGCTTATTCCACTTTCTTTTCACACTGGCAAAATGTTGCTTAACCCCGTACTATAGGTGGGGTTAAAGGGGGGGTTTTAGCCCCACCTATAGTACGGGGTTAAGCTTATTCCACTTTCTTTTCACACTGGCAAAAATTTGCTTAACCCCGTACTATAGGTGGGGTTAAAGGGGGGTCTTAGCCCTACCTATAGTCCGGGGTTAAGCCTATTCCACTTTATGTTCAGACTCGTTTTTACCAAAGTGGGCTAACCCCACCTATAGTACGGGGTTAACTAACCCTGCAAAATAGCAGGACTAATCTCGCAATTGTGGTGCTAACTCCTGCTAACTCCGCAATTGCGGTGCCAAGCAAATGAATGAGAACAGAAACGAAAAATAGTCCGGGACTACGCAGTGAAGCGAATTAATGAATTCCAAGGCCATGGCTAGTACGGGGCTAAGGAATTGCAGTGAGAAAAGCCAAAAAAAATAGTCCGGGGTTAAGGATAGTACGGGGCTAAGCAAAGTACGGGGTTAAGCAAAACCAGTGTGAAAAGAGAATTAGATTGAGGTATCTATCTTTAAAGAAGCTAAAGTGTGAGGCAAAATGGTATCTGGGCATAACAATGGCCTCTCATCATACTTACGTGTACATTTATGCATCTATCTATCTTCAAAGATGCAGTAATGTGAGGCGAACTACACCTTTGCTGCAAGGTTTTTTTAAAGGCAGTTGTTTTACCGCGTCATACTTATCCGTAGGGGAACAAGGCTGTAAGATTCTTGTACATGTACAGCATGCACTCCTCCAGTAGGCCGGCCATAGGAAATCAGATACGTATCTCATTACATAGTCAGAACAGAGGAGTCTCACCCCATTTTCGTGCTGAAAAGTTCAAGTGGCATATTGGTTATTGAAGGAGACTTCATCCTCCTTCTCCAATGGCTTTTTTTTTTTTTTTACATCACTTTATTGGTCAAACTTGCACAACAAAGGAGAAGATACAATAGCCCAGAACAATTCCATTTTACTGGAAAATGCAGGGCATTAAAAGTACATATAATGTTACATAACAAAAACAAAAAAATTAAGTCATTAAACAACATAGTGAGAAGTTGAGAACTGAGGAGTTGTGGATATTCCTAGCTATAGATGAAATAAGACAGCTAAATATTGAAAATTCATTTGATATATCAACTTGATATTGAATAAGAAGCATACATTATGAGCATTATTAGAGTGTCATTTGAGTTAATGTAATACAAAAATGCTGCTTTCAACCACACAGAACACTATATTATTTTACTTTTAATACCCTGTCACACTGCCAGACTGACTCTAGACTAGTGGCGGATTCATTCAAGGTGCACAAGGGCACTTTCCCCCTCCCCTTCTCCTCCCCCCCCCCCCAAAAAAAGTTGGAAATGGGAGCATGCACTGATGACTTTTTTTGTTTGTCAGAGAATTTTGTAGCCTAAAAGGCACACCAAACATTGATGACCATTTTGGGGGCTCTTCTGCGCCCCCCCCCCTGCGGCAGAGAATCCTGGTTCTGCCGCTGCCAAACTAACCAACAACCGACAAAATCTTTGCCATTTAAGATAACAATTGTTTGCCCTGTCTGTTGTAGAGATGTATTCTATCTTGCTGGTATGACAAGGTTATCCTTATATGCACGCATGGAGGTACTTCTTTAAGAAAGTCCAAGAGGCACATTGTATCTATCCATACTGAACTTTCCCCCTTTTCTTCCCTCTTTTCTTTTGATTGCGTAGGTGTAAGCGAAAGAGCTACCCTCCCGTCTCGGAGCTACCCAGTACCAGCATCGTCATCGTCTTTCACAACGAAGCGTGGAGCACCCTATTACGGAGCATCCACAGTATCATCAACCGCTCGCCGAGGGAACTCCTCACCGAGATAATACTTGTTGACGACGCCAGCGAAAGAGGTGCGTAAGAAACTTGAGTCGGGCTATCAAGTCGTCACCGAAAAAAGCATTCAAGAGTGACGTTGGCCAATGGAGCCGGGCGGAGGATGAAGATTTCCCTTGGGTGGGAGAGAGAGAAAGAGATTGAGAGAGTATCATACCTTGTTAGGCAATCATGGAATGTATTTATTTTAGAAACCATCAGGGAACTTATCCCATTAGTAAGTGATTTGTGTAAGAACGGCCTGTGGTTATTGTAGGAGACTATTGTAGGAGCATTGGAAGGATACTTGAGTTCAGATAGCTTGTGTTAGAAGTGAAACAGCCAAGTGGCAGTCAATGGATCAAACATTTTCCCACATACATGTACATGTTGGAGAGTCTTGTTATTAAAGTTTCTCTCTCTCTCTCTCTCTCTCTCTCTCTCTCTCTCTCTCTCTTTCTGTGTGTGTGTGTGTGTGTGTGTGTGTGTCTCTCTCTCTCTCTCTCACTTTGTCCCTGTTTCTCTCTTTCTCTCCCCCTCTCTCTCTCTCTAATGTTTTTAGATAGTCTAATTAAGTTTCCTTGCTCTCTCTCTCCACCTCACCCTCTCCCAGTCTTCCTCTCTTTATATTCAATGGAAATGGATACAAAATAAAATAAAATTCAAGAGTTTTAATTTGCCAGTACAAAATGCAAGGGTTAGGAGGAGAAGAAGTTCTAGACCAAGGGGAACTAGCAGGAGGAGAATAAAACAAATCAGAATAGTGCAATAAAATGAGCAGAAGAAGAAGAAGGAAGTTGAAAGAATCAAAGGGGAATGGGGAAAGAAAGTGAAGGAAGTATAAGGCTGGGGAGTGGGATGATGGATGTTTTGAAAGGACTCACTATTTGCGGTTGATGAGAGCTCATTTTAGACTCTTTATGGTGGTTTATATCATGAATAATCAATTGCTGAAAATGTCAAGAGACATCTAACCAGAAAGCAGTACAAGCATGCTGTAGGCATTATGGTTCTTGATAGGCATGCAGGCAAATTCCTCGCATGGGCAGAGCTGCCAACTAGTACGGATTTCCCGTAATTGGTACTGAAATTAACGACCATTACGGATTGTTGTCTCAATTACAGATTTAAAAAAAATGATTTGTTTATTTATATATTTAAAAAAAAAAAAAAAAATTAATTTTTTAAAATATGATTTATCGTAGCCAGTGCTGTGAAGTATGGCGGCCATCCAATATACTCTTAATAGAAGCCATTTTTCATTGAAAACTGTTTTGTGATGACATGAAAGTTAATATTTAACAACTTTGTGTGAGTAAAATCACCACAAATTTCAGATAATCATGCGCCTATGCATCCGTGCAGTGTTGGCGTGCCTTTTTTTTTATAGATTCATAGCGCCGCATAGGAAATTACTGATTTATACCCCCAAATTATTTATTCTACTGATTTTGAGCCATGTGATTGCTAATTTCTGATCTGGAGGTTGGCAGCTCTGCATGGGAATACAAAACTGTGCTTGTTTATCGATTTGATTTGATTTTTGATATGGTTTGTTATATTCAAAGGTTGTGGTTTGATCCCTGATGCAGCACTAATGTCCTTTGGCAAGGCATTAATCTACATATGCCACTCAGTACCCAAGAGAGAAATTGGGGCCCTGTAGGCTGAAAAAAAGCAATTGTGTTAGTAGATTTAATTGCCTATGCCCTCACGGTGACCATAAGGTAGGGACACTGATTTTCCGTTTCAGAAAATCTTGAATTCCGTTTCAGATGGGCTGAAAAACAGAAATTCCGTTTTGCCATAGACTTTGTACACATGAAAAAACTAAAATTCCGTTTACATAAGATTTTCATTAAAACATGAACTTGTAGGGTACAAAAGTTCTATTAAAGCCGCCACCTTTGACAAGCCACTGATAACCACTCAAAAACATACGGACGGGACTGGATAAACTTGATGCAAAATACTAGTGAAAATATAGATCCCTACGGGCCCTAGAGTCTAGGCTAGACCTACGAAAAATTATCAAATGGTTAGATTTACCAACTTCAAATTCGAACTTAGACTAGCAGACTAAAGTCAGCTGAATGTATCAGAACACGACATATTCTTGACGAAAATGCTGAGTAGTACCGACGTCAACGAAAACATTTTCAGTCTTGGCTGTTATGTCCGCGATCGATCGATTTTAGGCGCACATGCCAGCCCCTTTTTCGAACTGTACAACTGCGTGTGTACAATCTCGCCGCACGTAGCGCCCGCTACTGGCGTGTGTGTGCCTAGTATTACGTCTACGTAATACTAGGCGCCTAGCTGGCATAATCGGATCGTTTCGCTGCTATTTGTACCGAGTTTTACGATGAGATCCCTTTCGGTCCAGCGAAACAAAATGGCAGCTCCCGGTCTCCTAAGAATCTGATGAATATCGCTAAATATTCGGAATTATTAACCATGATTTGAGGCCCAATATTTTTTAACTGCATAACGAGTCACAAATATAGTGTAAGTTTTACGATTTTCTTCTTAAAAAAGGGGTTTTCCGCGATTTTCCGTTCGAAATTGCATTTTCCGTTTCAAATGGTCAATTCCGTGAATTCCGTCCGTTTTCCGTGATCGCGGAAAATCAGTGTCCCTACCATAAGGTAGGAATACTCCCCAGGGCAAGTGGAGATGGTGCATGAATGAATCCGATGACCTGGGTAATAATATCTATAAAGCACTTTATAGAGACGGTATTCCCTATCAAGTGCTATATAAATCCAGATTATCATTATTATTATATGCTCTACATTCTACAAAGAGAAAATACTTTTCTCAAAGTTGTCTATTTCCTCTTCTCAACTACAGATTTTCTTGGGCAACAGCTAGATGATTATGTCAAGAGGTTACAGGTTCCCGTCCACGTGGAGCGGATGGGAACGAGGAGTGGTCTGATCAGGGCGCGGCTGAGAGGGGCGTCGGTAGCCAAGGGTCAAGTGTTGACCTTTCTGGACGCCCATATAGAATGCACGGAGGGATGGTTAGAACCACTCATGACCAGGATAAAGGATGACAAGTAAGTGGAAACTTTGGTTTTGTTTAAGGTGTGATCATTTTAGATTGATTTTAATTGTTGTTTATTTAAGAATTAATGGTAAAAAGATTTAGCAAAGTTGAGTGTCTTTTCTCCTTTTAAGCTGTTGATTGTTTAAGCACTTGTGATGAAATAGAGAATACGAGTCAGTCAGAAGGGCAATGAGAGAGAGAGAGAGAGAGAGGGAGGGAGAGACAGATAGAGACAGAGAGAGAGGCAAAGAGAGGAGGAGGGAGAGAGAGAGAGAAAGAGAGAGAGAGAGAAGACAGAGAGAGAGAAGGGGGGGGGGGGGCTGAGACAGACAGACACACACACAGATACCTAGACAGGGAAAGGAGTGAGACATACATTTTCAAACACAAATGTTTGCCTTTATTTGTAAGAGGGCAAGAAACTGAATACCATTACACCTGTAGTGATGTTTTTAAATACAACCTTCGTGCCCCAATAATGCTTTGTATAGCAACTATTTTCAAACATTAATTTTTGAGGGGAGAGAAAAAAAATGCCCAAAAGAAGGATAGAAAGAAAAAATACCTAATCCATATTTTACACTGTGAAAAACCCACCCTCCAAACCTTTTATATCAAATAACAGCAGAAGTATGTACAGTGCGTCCCAGAAAAAAAGAAAAACCCCAAATAAACAAATATTATGAACAAACTATGAGCTGTATAAATATGATTTTTTGCTCTTCGTAAATTAGAAGTCACATGCTTTCAAAAATACATTTATGACATGACCTGAAGGAAACCTATACTTTCAAGGCAATAGAGATGATTGTTTTCATGTGCTATTTTAGATACTGAGTGCAAGGTTATTGCCATTATAAAATTAAGGACGATTGTGAGGGTGAAAAGGGCAATATAAATTTGTACATAAATGTTTATGCATGGTTTTAGCACTTTTCAGAACTGCAACTTTTTAAAAGGACGAAACAGACAGTTGGGTGATATACATTATCCACAGGAATCAAAGTAAGAGGCATAATACATTATGATGATGGAGAAAAGTATGGCCCAATGGACACATAAAGCAGAATTGAAATATCAGAATATGGAATTTTTCTCTCAGGATGGACACCATTTTCAAGTTTAAAAATGACATCTTTTTAGTGCTTGAAAGTTATTGTTTAAGGGAAACCTGTGGTTGTATGCCCATGTCATCCTGGAACTGGGTATTTCCCCTATTTTACTAACTGCTTATCTAGATGCATGTTAGCACACTATGGAAATTTGGCATGCATGTGATACTAACGTTTTCACTGTGTCACCAAAATCTGGCACAAATCGATTTTGACATGCCATTTTCAAAACAATGTTGCTCTGTGAAACATGTATGGATTAATGGAATCACTGTTTCATTTGAAAGAATATTACTACTTCATACGTCATGAAAAGCAAGATAATATCTTTTAGCTCATAGTTTTCTCACAAATACTGATTGTTTTTGTGTCTTTTCAATTTTCTGGGATGCACTGTATGTATAATATATTGATCCCACACTATGTGAAGTTGTTGAGCACCACAAGGCCATAATTTGTGGTGAAATCCGAGAACATGTTTGTTTGGTTCTTACATGAAACCTGATATCACCCTCTCCAGAGGTTTAAGAGCAAATCTCCTGATTCAAGTTCACAATTTGTTTATATTTTAAATAAACAAAAAAGAAACCAGCAACAATTCACTTGTACTGGTATTGGGATATGGTTTAAACTATATGTATTTTAAAGCAGTTTTAGATTAAATTGCAAACACTTTAGTAGGGATAATTAATGTGCATTTTAGTGATTTCTATTATTACTTCAATCACTAATGTAAAGACTCTGTTTGCATTTTTGTTCATAGTGTTTAGAGTATTAGAATAATTGTATACATGTTCATGTACAGTATTCATAGGCCTCCTTCTATTATTAAAGGGGAAGTCTACCCTGATATTAAGTTGGTTTTGAAAGAATGATGTAATAATATCTTTGCAATTTTTGTAGAAAGAGAGGGAAAAGACCCACAGTATTTCATTACAATTTGATACAGATTTTAAGTATCATATGCCTCATTGTTTGGAGTATGGCCTTATCATGATGACAATGTTATAGCTTTAGTAACAAAGGGTCATCAACTTCATTGTATTTCCTCCTGCATCACAATTTGCTAAAAATAGGTAAAGTGCTCCAAAATATCTCATAATGAACTTAGACTTTCTCTTTCCATCTCTCTCTCAATATATATATATATATATATATATCTCCCACTCTCTCTCTCTCTCTCTCTCTCTCTCACTCTCTATCTATCTCTTACAAACACACCGGGGTAGGCAGACCTTTTGCATACCATCCTCCACACCTATTTTATTAAAAGCAAATCTGACTGTTGAAGGCTAATTGCTAATCAGGGCTGAGAGAGTAATTATCTCATGATATTAGATGATCCATACTGGATATTCTCATCTGTGTAGAGACCACCATTAGGCCTACCTATATTACATATTAAGGCTATGCACAACAGTGTAATGAGGTACCCGAGTAAACTCCCAGGCTCACAAACGAATACTCGAATATTCGGACGCCATGTTTTTTTATAATTTTTTTGAATTTTTTTTTGAATTTTTTTGAATTTTTTAAAAAAATTTAAATTTTTTAATTTTTTTTTTTTTTTTTTGAATTTTTTTTGAATTTTTTTGCCACTACCATACCACTCGGCAGTTTCCCAGGTCCCTCGCCGAAAACGCATGCAATTTTACTTTGAGTTGCAGTTGAAGGCGCCGATTTAATAAGAATAATAACAGTAAACAATGCTGTTTTAAAAACCAAAGATGGCAGAATAATCCATTTTCCTCCAAGTCCAAACAGAAATCTGGACATTTGGTCCCAGTTTCTGAAAGGGGAGTTTGACAGTGCTTGAGTTGGGAAACATTTTTACCGACGGTACCATGCCAGCGGCCACCGCTCTCCCTGGCACGGGTAAGCGTGGGCCTGGACATTTTTTTTTTTTTTTTTTTTTTTTTTTTTTGCGGCTGAATATTCGGGTACGAGAAATAGTACCCGAGTAGTTGTCAACCGTGCGGGTACTCGAGCATTCGACTACCCGTCGCAGCCTTATTACATATCATCCCCTCTCCCCTCCCCTATCAATTCAGTTTAATTTGAGATTCCTAGAGCTATATGTATTCCCATTTATAACATTAATAGACCTCTCTATTAATTATGTTTGCCAGTCTGAAATGAGAGACTTGCCTACCGGTAATTATAAAGTAGAAATCATCACAGCCCTTACTCAATGCTTATTTCACGGGCCCAAAATATATCTGGATAGAAATGTTGGGATTTTAGATTTGAAGAGGCCTTTGATTTAAGAGTAATCTTTTTATTTAGGTTATTGATTATAGGCCTATTTCTCTTCATTTATGGCATATTAGTTTTTCTTTCTCTCTGTATCTCTCACTCCTCTCTCTCTTTCTCTCCATCTTTGTATCTCTCTCACTCTCTTTTCTCTCTCCTAAATCTCCTTTGTCTCCCCCTCTCTCTATTTCTCCTCCTTCCCTTCCTTTACCCCACTCTCTGTGTATCCCCGGCTCTCTCTCCCCTCCCCTCTCTCCCTATCTCCTCCCTTCCATTTACCTCTCTCTCCATTTTCCCTACATCTCTCTCTCTCTCTCTCTCTCTCTCTCTCTTTCTCTCTTTCCTCCCTATCACTTTCTTCCTCCCTCCATCTCTCTCTCCCTCCCTCTTTATGTCAATCTCTCTCTCTCTCTTTCTCTCCATCTTTGTATCTCTCTCACTCTCTTTTATCTCTCCTAAATCTCCTTTGTCTCCCCCTCTCTCTATTTCTCCTCCTTCCCTTCCTTTACCCCACTCTCTGTGTATCCCCGGCTCTCTCTCCCCTCCCCCTCTCTCCCTATCTCCTCCCTTCCATTTACCTCTCTCTCCATTTTCCCTACATCTCTCTCTCTCTCTCTCTCTCTCTCTCTCTCTTTCCTCCCTATCTCTTTCTTCCTCCCTCCATCTCTCTCTCCCTCCCTCTTTATGTCAATCTCTCTCTCTCTCTCCCTCCCTCCTTCCCTCCACCTCTGTCTCCCTCCCTCTCCACATATCCCTTTCTCTCTCTCTCTTTCTCTTCATCTCTCCAAGAGTCTCCATCCCTCTACTTCTCCCCATCCTTCTCTTCATCCCACTCTCCTGTCTCCCTTCATTTCTCTCCCCCCCCCCCCCCCTCTCTCTCTCTTTCCCTCTCTCTCTCTCTCCACCTAAATTTTTTCAATTTAGATGCACAGAAGTAATTAATAAAGGCTAGGAAGATAATTAACCTGCTCAAGAAATCTCCCAACCCATTTTGGGGCAGACAAGATTAGATGTGGGCGTGTTCACACTCCAAGGCCCGAATTCACAAAGGAGGAGGTTTGTCGACAAACCTCCTTTTGTTCTTTACAAACCAGGTTTGTAAAAAACGCGTAAAAACGCGTCATATGATGTACGAAAACCAAGGTTTGTCGACAAACCTCCTTTGTGAATTCGGGTCCAAAGGTTTCAACCCACAGGAAGGAGAAATCATAGCATTTGACAGTGTTTATTTGGGCTATTTCTTGTAGAAAGTTTGAGAAATTGTATACATTTTTCCCTTTAAAAGCTGATCAAGTGTTTTGGTACTTCTTCATTTGAAGCCATGCAAGACAGCTCCAGACTAGATACCATGTTCTAAAGATTTATTTCTTGTTTTGAGTGTCTAAACAGTGTTTCCAAATAAACATGGCAGAGGCCACAGTTACATGTAAAAAGGGTTTATGAGAGATAACTTACATGAGATGTACATGTAGATGCAGAAAGTAGAAGAATACAAGAGAGAGAGACAAAATATGTGCAGTTGGGAAAAGAGAAAATTTACTCAGAGAAAAATTGTTGTTTTGGGGTCAAAGTCATCTTCACTTTGTGATTCTTTCTGTTTGCACCATATTTCAGCAGTTAGTCCACTTTTGGGAAGATTCTTATA